CAAGGAGCGCTAAGTTTGGAAATTTGGCTAACTGATTTGTAGTTAAGTGAGCAGATCCATCTGTATGTGTAAGTTCAAAATACTTGACATCTCTGAGTTACCTGGCCTTTAACTTTGAAGTTCTTGGTATAGTACTATGCACCATTGGAGTCCCACTAAATCACAAATCTAGGTGCACTCAGATACGAGAGATCAGCTACATGTCCAACTGTTGTAAGCAGAAAACAATAACTTGTTTCTTATATAGTGTCTTTGATATAATGAAACATTCTAAATCCACTCACTGGAGTGTTGTAAAGCTATATGTAATTACTGGGGTGGGGGGCGCTGGGTAGGGGGTATGGGGTATAAAGGAATCATCTTGGAGTAATGGAATATTGTAAGTCTGCATTTTGATCATGTTATTTGCCTTTGCTGGGAGGGCAGAAGATGTACTTAGTTTAATTGCCAGACATAATTGAATTTGTTATCTTGTCATTGGCAGTGTATATGGTTCTTTATTGATTTTAAAATCAATCAACTAGCAAAGAGGTAGTAAGAACTGCTGATGCTGGTGTCAGAGATAACAGTGTGGAGCTGGAAGAATACAGCAGGCTAGGCAGCATCAGGGGAGCAGGAAAGTTGATGTTTCAGGTCGGGACCCTTCTTCAGAAATGGGGGAGGGGGAAGTGAGCTCTGAAATAAATAGAGAGAGGAGGGTTGGGGCTGGGGAAGGTAGGTGGGATGGTGGTAGGTAAATGCAGGTAGGCAGTGGTGGGGATTGGTCAGTGAGGTGGGAGGAGCGGATAGGTGGGAGAGAAGATAGGCAGGTGTCAGAAGATGTGTCAGGTCAATGAGGCGGGGATGAGAGGGAGGGTTGGTCATGGGATGAGGCTGGGGGTGGGAGATTTTGAAACTAGTAAAGTCCCCATTGAGACCATTGGGTTGTAGGCTCCCAAGGCGGAATATGAGGTGCTGCTCCAGTTTCCGGGTGGCATCATTGTGGCACTGGAGGAGACCCAGGATGGACACATCGCTCACAAAGTGGGAGGAGGAGTTGAAATGGTTCGCGACTGAAAGGTGTTGTCGTTTGGGCTGATACGTGGTCACTGAGAAGCATTTAACTAACTCCATTGACATTCATGGCATTACCATTGCTGAATCTCCCATGATCAACATCCTGGGATACCATTGACCAGAAACTTTGGCAAAAGCAAATCACACGCTTGAAATTTGGCAGTAATTCCCCAAAGCCTGTTCGTTAAGAATGCATAAGTCAAGAGTGTAACAGAATATTATGCATTTCCTGGGCCGAGTGCAGCTGTGATAAAATTCTCCAGGCTCAACACCGTGCAGGACAAAGCATTCCATTAGATTGGCACCCATCCACCACCTTCATCATTTACTCACTTCACCATAACACTCTGTACCATTTACAAGATGCATTGCAGCAGCTCCACAAAATACCTTTGACAGCACTCTACAAATCTGTGACCTCAACAAAGGGCAAGAGCAGCAGATCCAATGGGACACCATCATCTGCAAGTTCCCCTCCAAGCCACACATCCTCACAAGGAACTGTCGCCAATCCCTTATTGTAGCTGGGTCAAAATCCTGGAATTCCTTTTCTGAATACCTCTCCTCGTGGACTTGCAGCTGTTCAAAAAGGTAACTTCTGAAAGGTAATTAGGAATGTCAATAAATTTTGACCTCACCAGCAACATTCATGTCCTGTAAATTATAAAGAATGTTTCATGGAAGGAGATGTGGTATGGTGGTGGTAGTTAATAGGCTGTTTTCTTGTTTTAAGCAAATTAATATTAACCACTGCCATACTGACATCCTGTGATTCCTTACCTCAGCCATTAGTAAATGACAACTGTTGAAGAGCAAAAAGAAGAATGTAACACCTTCTATCTTTTGTTCATCCCCCAACCGCATCATATACTTAATAACTTTTGAGGGCCCGTAACAAGGGGGTATAATTTTAAGGTGAAACCTAGGAGGTTTAGAGAAGGTTGGTGGGAATTTGAAATGCACTGCCTAGGAGGGCAGTAAAGGTGGGAAACCTCAATCTTTGTAAAACGTACTCGGATGAGCACTTGAAATGTCATAACATTCAAGGCTATAGGCCAAGTTCTGGAAAAAGGGACTAGTGTAGATTTGGAACATTTTTTTTAATCTAGGGGGCTTTTCTGTTCTCTCTCTTTTGAAGTGCTGCAAAACTAATATATAGGTGCTTAGAACAGGTGGCGAAGTGAATGGGTGGAGATTAAGGGAGAGCTAAGATAATGTTCGAAAATTGGAGTCAGTAGACCCATAAATGTCACAAGGAATATTAGACATATCCTCAGTTTGGTGAATCATCTTTGCACTCCCTCCTATGGTAACTACATCTTTTTTCCAGTAAGGAGACCACAGTGGGCTATTATACTCTGTGTTCTTACATCAATGATTTATACAATTGCAGTATGACATCTTATTACTCCAATACCTCCATGGCTCTCGCCACTAAATAATGACTGTTCATGTTATGAAAGTAATAACCTTGCATTTATCCACATTATATTCCATGTGACATATTTTTGCGCACTTGCTTAGCCTCCCCAGGTCAAAATAAGGCACCTTTGCATGCTTCTCACAATTCCCACTCCCACCTAGTTTTGTGTTGTATACAAACTTGGAAATATTACTTCTAATCCCATATCCAAAAAGCTGGGGTCCAAGTACAGACCTTGAGGTACCTCACTCGTCAAACCTAAAGACCTGAACATGACCCATTTATCCCTATGCTCTTTTTCTTTCTGTCTGTTAACGTATTGTCAATCCATGCCTGAATGATTCCACCCCCACCCCCTGCCCCAATCGCATAAACTATAATTTTGTTTACTAACCTCTTGTGTGAGACCTTATTGAAAGCCTTCTGACTGTCTAAATATACTACATCCATCAGGTCACCCTTCTCTATTGTGCTAGTTCTATCCTCAAAATTCCCAACAGGTTTGTCAAATATGATATCCCTTCCATAAATCCTTTTTGATTCTGCTGAATCCTATCATTAGTTTCTAAAAGTACTATGATCGTATTCTTTATTACATGTTCTAATAGTTTTCTGTTGGCTTGATGTAAGGGTAACATATGTAGTTCCCCCATTTACTCTATCCCTCCTTTCTTAAATAGGATTATATTTACCGCCTTCCAGTCTAGAGGAGCCACTCCAGAATCATATAGAATCCTTAAAGATGACCACAATGTATCTATCATCTCTACAGCCACTACTTTCAACACCCTGGGGTATAGATTATACAGAGGTCCCAAGGTTTATCTAATTTTAACTTCCATGAATTTCTCTGGTAATATTTACTAATAGTAATAATCTTCTAGTTCCTCACTTACACTGGTACCTAGATTGCATGAAAATCTAAGCACTCTTAGAGAAGGCTGTTCTCTTGAACATAACAGGAAGTCTCATTTTGCCTGCTCAATTGTCATTTCTGCACAAAGTGAATATTGGAGCAACCTTTTTGGGTCAAAAGACCACATTAAATGTGTCTTGATGTTTTTTCTCAAAGCGACAATTCTCAAGTGTTCCAAACAAACCTTTCAAAAGAGACTTTGCTCTAAATAAAAAGGGACAACTCTTCTCTTTAACCTGCCTATTCCCATGTTGAGACCACTAAAAGTTTTTAATACCTGTTTTTGTAGAGCCATAATGAGCAATTTCCATGCCAAAGGCCCACCAGCTGCACTGAAGTCCTGTTTTGGTTTTAATTTGAAACCAATTGTGGTTTCACAAGGATCTGTGTTAGGGCCTCAATTATTCACATTATTAATAACTTGGATAATATATAACATCGTCATCTATCCAAATTTGCTGATGACATAGGCAGCATTGTAGACCAGAAATTCTAGAATTTAGAAGATTATGGGGTGATCTGATTGAAGCCTTCAAGATATTAACACAAAAAGACAGTTTATCTTTACCCTGTTTCAACTGATTCTAGAACTAGGGGATATAGACTGAGAGTTGGGACTAGACTGTTCAGGAGAGATGTTAGGAAACATTTCTACACATAAAGGGCAGTCGATGTTTAGATATATTCCACAAATGACAATGGATGCTGGATCAGTTGTTAATTTTAAATCTGAGATAAATTTTTGTAAAGTCAAAATATTAAGGGGTGTGTGCGAAAGGCCTCAGATCAGTCACGATTGCATTGAATCATAGAACAGGTTGAAGAGACTAAATGACTTACTCCTGTTTCTGTCTTCCTAAAATGGTTGCTGCCTCGTTATGACTAAAGTGCTCTGCCTGCCAGCAGACTAAAACTCCATAGATGTGTGCATTTAATAGTGCTTGCTCAGATTTTAAGTTTTTAAACTTTTTTATTTCATATCTCCTGATGCCTTTACATCGGTTAAGTTAAAACTCAAGATTCATGGAAGTGTGCCTGTGCTTTTAATAATTGCAAACAACTGATGTATTTTGCTGGAAGCATGATACTGATGCACGTTAACTTTGCTTCAGTATTTTGGCTCGAACCCAGGGAATTCCCCAGCATCACAGGATGAGGTGAATCTAGAGGACTTTGTATAAAATGTATTTAAGAAATGGTATGGAAACAAAAACTATGTATCACTGCAAGGTAATAGGTGACAGAATAAGAGATTAAAAGTAAAAGATGTGCATAGAACACCACAAGCCTTGATGCAATGAGAGCCCTAATATATGTGACCCTGTCTCTCAGATTTGGGATGGTGTTTTTTTTTCCCTAATCAATCTGTCCAGAGATGATGTTATCACCTCTGAGCAGGTGTTGGAATGGTGCTATGCTGAAATAGATCGATGAAGAGAAGTCCTGGTCTTTAACAAAATTGGGTAGCACTTTATGTATGATAAGCATCATTTAAAGACTTTGTTCTAATCTGACAGTAGTTTAGGTTGCTGAATTGTTACACTGTTCCTTGGAAGCTAATTATGTTGGCTTTTCGGATACAATAACTTCTCTCTTTATATTCAGACTTTAAAATCAGTGCTGGTCATGCTGCAGATTTTAATCAACGCCTACTGGAAGCTAGTACTCGGTTCCAAATGAATCAGGGAAAAGGCACAATAGATGTATGGTGGCTGTTTGATGATGGAGGTATGAAGCATATTCTGCAAAAAATTGAAATTTAATGCCTTCTCATTAAGTTTGTAGATTGATAATGCAAGTTTTTAAATATATTAATGTAACTTATATATTTTATGAATAGGGAAAGGCTTTGGAATTCTGAAGCACAGAGGGACTTGGGAGACCTAGTTCAGGATTCTCTTAAGGTTAAAGTAGGTTCAGTGCTGTTGTGAAAACAAATGTAATGTTTATATTCGCCTCAAGAGGGCTAGAATACAAGAGCAGAGATGTACTATTGAGACTGTAGAAGGCTCTGGTCTGACTGCATTTGGATAATTTGAGCAGTTTTGGGCCCGTATTTAAGGATGGATATGCTGTTCTTGGAGGGGCTTTCCAGAGGAGGTTTACAAGAGTCATCCCAGGGATGAAGAAGAGCTTGTCATATGAGGAGCGGTTGAGGACTCTGGGTATGTATTCAGTAGAGTTTAAAAGGATGATGGGGGATCTTACTGAAATTTATGGAATGCTGGGAGGCCTGGATAAAGTGGACATGAAGAAAATGTTTCAACGAGTTAGAGAGACTAGGACTTGAGGGCATAGCCTCAGTGAAGGGATGACCCTTCAGAACTGAGATGAGGAGGAATTTCTTCAGCCAGAGGGTAGTTGATTTATGGAACTGTCACTGGAGGCCAAGTCAGTGAGTATATTTAAGACCGAGAATAGATCCTTGATTGGTAAGGGTTACGGGGAGAAGGCAGGAAAATGCGGTTGAAAAACATGTCAGCCATGATTGAATAGGCTGAATGGCCTTAATTCTGCTCCAATAGCTTGTGCTCTTGTAACTCCTCTTTATTACCTCAGGATGACCAACCACTGCTGTAATGTATGAAGTGCTGTAATGAGTTTGTGCAAACCAAGCTCCCCCACAGGAAAGAAAGGACCATACCATCTGCTGGCTAAGGAAGAAATTTTGACCAGGATGCAAGGAGAATTTTCCTGTTCTTCCTCATATAGTGCCATGCAATCTTTTCATGTCCATTAAGAATTTGAGGCTATGTAACAATGTCTCCTCCAAAAGACAGCAGCTTTGACAGTGCAATGCAAATACCTCAGATTATGTGCTCAAGTGTCTGCAATTGGACTTGAACCCATAGGCTGTATTTACTGGAAGCAGAGGGATTTTGGTTGCTGCCTGCAGGGCTTGTGGACCTCATGCCTTCTTTTAAGGAGCTGCCAAATTAAGTTTCATTCATGCATTTGACAAACCAGCAGCAGGTTGTCCCCGACATCTGTTGTCTGCAGTGGTGGCTGCTGTCAGAACCACATTCTGCCTGAGGCTTTGAATCAAGGAGGGACCAAAGCATGGATGGGTAATGGCAGGAGTGAGGTCAAGGTTGAGGGAGTGGCTTTCAGTGATCCCCTGCTCCTAAAACACTAGGGTCCCTTGATCAAGCACTGAGTGCTTTTGTCTGAGTGATCTCCCCTGGGAGCCCATAACTGGACAGCCTAAGGTTTGCTTATTGCATGGAAAGCCCCCTCCCTGCTGCTGGGTTAGTGGCAGCGGGATTAAGCACTTGAGCTGTAATTCACAGTGGGGTTCTAAAGGTGTTCCCACAGGCCATCTTGTCTCAAAAACTTAACTGGGATAGAGGTTGGTGTGAGGGTGTTAATGGGTGATGAGGTCCCCTCAATTCAGCAATAGTATTACTTTTGCCTCAAAAAGTGGTATTTTCACACTGAGGTTTCCAGTAGTCTGGGATGATCACAAATAGTTTGGAATATTTTAAGTATGTAAAAATCAAGATTTCTTCGATAACCTTTTGTAGCTATTGGCAATTCATGTTTGGCCTCAAGTGTAATTGAATTATTTATAGAAATCCTAGAAGATTTCAGTATTTATTTATGAAAATAAAACTTGTATTAAATTTATAATTTTGCATTCAGTTTCAATTTATCATTTAAACGAGCATTAATCCTGATATCATTACTTAATTTAGGTTTAACTATTCTCATTCCCTATCTGTTAACTATTCGCAAAAAATGGTGTGGCTGTAAATTGCGCATCTTTATTGGAGGGAAGTTGGACAGTATTAATGAGGAGAAACGAGCGTAAGTTTTGTTAAATAAGATTCTTGCACATTTTAAATCATTTGGATTTTATTAACATGGTTGATTGGATGTTAGCACTTTCACTGATTTTCATCAAATTTGGCAAAGTAGGTTTTCTTTGTGGTGAATGTTCATGAATATTAGTAAAAATATTGACAAAGTTTTTAGCTGAAATGTTTGAAAGTATTGAAAAACAAACGAGTATTTTGGAAAGAGGGAGGCAGAAATTCATCTACTAAAACGACTGAACTTCCTGACAACAAGTGCATCAAAGTGTTTCATGGTAATGTGCACATCCAGAAATACACCGGTATATTTATATAGATGTATTTGAGTGTGAGCTTTGGGTACTAAAGGGATTCTGTAGCATTTCCCTTTTGAGCCAATTGGAAGTAGTGTATCAGAGAGCACAGGGAAGTCACTCACCCATCGTGCCTGTTCCATCTCTTTGACAGAGCTGCTCAATTGATCCCGCTGTAGTCTTTACACATTCTCCTTTTTATATTTCCTTGAAATGGAAAAACAATTCCAATTCCGTTTGAAAGTGACTATTGAAACTATTTCTATCACCTTCTTCAGGCTCTGTATTCTAGATTATAACTTGTTGAGTTAACCTCCATCTTTTACCTTAAATTGGTGCCAGATGGTTACTGGCCCTCCTGCCAGTTGGAAGTTCTTTTTATTTTGAAAAAATAAAATCTATAATTGGAATATTTCTGACAAAGCTCTCCTTGCCCTTCTATGCCCTGAGAACAATCACAGCTTCTCTAATAACTTCATGTCCCCTCCCTCGATGCTACAGTGTCTCTAATTTGCCTCTGCTTCTCTAATTATCCTGTACTAAATAAGCAGAAATTTCCAACTGAATATGAGGAAGACCGAAACTATTGTCTTTCACCCCTAAACTCTTTCCCACTGGCTCTAACCTCTCCCTCATCGCTGACAATCTTGATGTTGTATTTGAGCCCAGACTGAGCTTCCATACAGATGAATGCTCTGTCACCACCTGCTTTCACCTCTGTAACATTACCTGACACTGCCCATGTCCTCTGTCCAACTTCTTAAACCTCCTTCCATGGCATTGTTATCCTTAGTTTTGAATTATACCAGTGCGCTCTCGGCTGACTTCCTAATATTGTAAAACATAAACTTAAAAGTTCTTTGAATCGCGCATGCGCATCTTAACTTATTATCATTCACCTCTTAATGACTCCTGATTTGGTAACATCTCCATTTTTAAATATTTCTGTGGTCTCACTCCATCTCTAATGCTGTGAGATTTCTGTGCTCCTTTGATTCTGCCATCTTCTGCATCCATAATATTAATCGCTCGATTAATGGCTGCCATATGTTCAACTGTCCTTAGTTCTAGAATTTCATTCCTAAACTTTTGTCTTTCTTCCTCAATGTATTTAAGTCAAATGTGAAAAATGTATTAGCTAAGATAGAGATACACAGATTTAAAATAAGTTCAGTTATGTATAAAGATAAAAATTTCTGCTATTCTTGCAGGCCTAGTCTGCTTGCAAATTACAATTCTGGATTGAAAGATTTGAAGACTTGAATTCAGTTTCAGCAGCTTCTGGTGTTGTATCATTTGAGGTTGCTTCCACAGGTGGTCTGAGCAGAACAATCCAGGGGGAAGGATGGTGCTTGATTAGGGAAGGAGGATGACACCGGTATTGTAGAGACAGCAGATATTGTTAGTGACTTTTTTAACCATCTGGGCTCTGGACCCACAGCAATGTGATTGGGTCAATAGAAGTGATTTAAACAGGGAGGCAGTGCATGAGCATGCAGATGGAAGGCCACAACATTTTTATATGCTTGTATGGGATGTGGGCATTGCTAGGAAAGCTTGCATTTGTTCCTATGCCCGTAGTTTTCTTTGGCTCTGTAGGCCAAGGCAGTCAAAGTCAACTAAATTGCTGAGAGTCTAGAGTCACATGTATGTCAGACCAGGTAAGAAAAGCAGATTTTCTTAGAGGGGATGAATGAACCAAATGGGTTTTTTCAACAATCATTGGTTGTTACAAGATCATAATTGGGCTAGCTTTTAATTGCAGATTTGATTGAAGTTAAGTTTACTTGGGGGATTGCAACTCAAGGTCTCACAGTGCTTGCTTGGGCCTCTGGTTTACTAGTCCAGTGACATTATCATTAGCCACTAGTTTTTCCTCAGTGCTCAACACAGACGAGGAGTTTAGACGTTGGGCAACACTACAGAGAACAGAAGCTGACGTCGAGCTGTTTTATTGTGGATTTGAACTACCAAGGAAAAACGTGAATAGTGGGAGTGAATTTTAACATTATCAATTTAATGGGCAGAAAAAGACATTTTGAAAAAGGAGGGGCTTGAGAAACAAATGAGTTTGAAATTGAATGATTAAAGTTGATGTAAGGATAACTGCAGGACATATTGTTCTAGGAAACTGTCCCGAATACACTATGAATTTGTCCTCGTGGCTACCTCTGCCAGTTTGACTATCCCAATCTATGCGAAGGTTAAAGTCGCCCATGATTAATATTGCCTTTTTACATGGCCTCATTATCTTCTGATTTATTCTCTGCCCACTGTATAGCTATTGTTAGGAAGCCTTTGAACTACCTGCCAGTGTTTTCTTCCCTTTTTTATTTCTTACCTCTACTTTTCTGGATTTGACATGTCCTGATCCAAGATAGTTTCTTGCTATCAGACCTTATCCATCTGGTATCAATGATGCTATCCCACCACCCTTTCCTTCCAGCCTGTCCTTGTGAAAATTCATATGCCCCTAAATCTTTTGTACTGAGATTTAATCTTGTAATCATGTCTCTGTGGCTGTAAAATCATACACATTAACTTCTTTTTGTGCTATTAATTCGTTTATTTTGTTCTGAATACTTAATTTTGACTTTTTAATTTTTTTCCCTCCTTTAACTATATTTACTGCAAATTTTGTATGTTTGTATACCCTGACATCTCCTCCTGTCTGACTGGGTATTCTTACCCAAATAACTGCCCTTTAAACTACTATATAATCTTGCTTTCAGAAGCCTATATTTCTCTCCCCTCCACCCTTTGTAAATGCAGCAAAATTCATATGGTTTACTCTGCTATGAATCCTGTTTTAATTTGTAAAATCAAACTTGCATGTTAATGATTATTAGTTATTCTTTTGTTATATTTGCAAGTTTTCACAATTAGTTCATAACTAAGCTACCTTGGGGAGATATCCACAAATATTTTGATTGTAAAATATGTGCAGTGATATGTTGCAAAGAAGAGGATTATGTAGATAAGCAGAATATTGGTAAATTGTGTAAGTGCTCTCTTCAGATAGTATAATGTGTATGTGATTTCCTATAAGTTTCCCAGCAACAATCATCTCCCCGTCTTTTATAAATTGGTTTTTTAAAAATTGTCTTTTTCACTACCTGGAATCTATTTTCCATTGTCAAATAGGTAAGTGAGGGATTGATGGCAATGGGGAATGTTCAGAGGAGGTGTCTATAATGGGATAAATGCAAGGATTCTGACAAATGTGTGAATAAGTATTGAGAGGCCTTTGTATGCCCTTGAAAAATACATTTTGAGAGTGAAAGCATGTGGCTAGTGAGATGACAGAATATCTGATTTTAAAAACTGGTTGGGTGGGAGAAAAGAGGAAATAGAAGTGAAGAAATGTTTCTCAGAGGAGTAGCATTGCCTCCTATTCTAGGACCACTTGTGTTCACTGTTGTGTACACAAAAATTTGAATAAGGGATTGGAGCTATTGATGTCGAGTTTGTAGATGGTACTAAAATTAGAGACATTCCAGCTCCTGTTGGTCCTCAAAATTAATAACAAGGAAATAAGTTTGTGGAAGCAGCTACAAGCTGAGAGATGGAGTTACATATCAATAATTTAAGGTGCATACTTTATTTTTAAAAAATACAGTCTTATACTGACATCAATTGAAAGCCTTATTTGTGCATGAGCAGAGCTGGTGATGATATCATTACAGCAGTGTCAGGAGTTGAAAAATAAATCATTTCAGTATTCTATAAATTCAGTATTATAAATCACTTCCCTAATATTTACCTTCAATGAATAACTATAGTGAAATAAGAATGGAGGACATATCAGAGTTATGCTGTGGAACTTGCAACTGTTTGTTATTTACTTGTTGACCAAGTAAGCAAACTTTATTATGAACTAGCACCTATGGGACTAGGAGTGTGCCAATTGATCAAATATTCTGCTTGATCAAGAGATCCACATAGTCAATATAAAAACATTCAGTAAGTAATAGAAACGGGATGCAGGGGGTATTCACAACACTGTTATACTTTATTTACAGCATAAATCACTTAAACAATAATGCCTTTGCCTAAAATAAAACTTACCAGCAGAGCGTCTTCTCACTCATGTCTTCAGCTGACTACTCTGACATCACAGAGATCATGATAATACAGCAAACTTCTGGTATTTGAGGTATATGATTTTTGCTGATTCATCAAGAATATTGGTTCATAAGGTGCCAGTTAAAACAAAGTTTGCTGTATATAGTTAGCAGATCGGTTGAATGTAACGTTTTAGGAAATTGTAAGCTCAGTGGGAAGATGTGCTCAGAAGAAATGTAAGTATGGAATAAAAGCCGAGACTTTCAACTCCAACAAAACCTCAATGAATATTATAGTGAGGACCGTAGTCTATTTGCACGTTTGTCTTCCTATGCTGCATTTTCCAGACCTGGTTACTGCAGAAAGTGCTCCCTCTGGTGTTCTGATCTCAATTGATGAAGTTGAAAAAGAAAAACAATAGTTGGGTAGATTAGGTGAAACGAAAAAGCTGAATGACTTGGTAGTTCGGGATATTAAAAGCAGCAGTTCAAGTGGATAGGACCATAAGAAACATTAATTTTATATCTTTACAGAAAAGTATTCTATATGAAAAATGATATATAATGGAGTGCATGGCAATTTTTGAGCCCCACACCATAGGAATGATGTTGAACAGTAGTTCACCGGTAAGCACTTAGTTAGAATCGCTTCTTAAATGGAGGATAAACATCATCAGCATAGTTATATTAACCTGCCCAATTCTGCCACCATATATCTGGTATAGAAATTAAAACCATGTTTAAAAGTGATAAATATTGCATGTTCTTGCTTCTCTACAGAATGGCAGCACTCCTAGGCAAATTCCGGATTCAGTGTGCTGACATCAAAGTCATTGGAGACATTAATATGAAACCAAGCAAAGAAAGGTAGGCAGAGACTGAATTGGTTTCTTCAGTAGTCTATAACTACAAAGTTGAGATTCCTGAGCATTGCAGACAACCTGACGCAGCATGGATTATTAGTATTGATGTTTGTCAGTCTTGGATGATATTGGTAAGTGGGTCCTTGTCAAATCCCTCAGACGTGGACTTAAACTTATAGGAGCTAGTAGCTTGTTTCTGGTGGATTGTAGGAAACTCTCTTTGCTGTGAATGATGTTGCAGAAAGAGACTTAATCTCATTAAAACAAACAAGATTCTGAGAATCAGGACAAGCTGGATGCTGAGGATATTTCTCCTCATGGGGAAGTTAAAACTAGAGTGTATAGTTTTAAAAACAGGTTTCCCACTTAAGACAGAGCTGAGGAGGAATTTTTTCTCAAAGTCAGTCTTTAGAATTCCATCCCCAGAGAGCTGTCAAGGCAGGGTTATTGAAGCATTCAAGGCAAGCGGAAGATATAACACAGTGTGGAGTTGGAGGAACACAGCAGGCCAGGCAGCACAGAGAAGCAGGAAGGTTGATGTTTTGGGTCGGGACCCTTCTGTATCTCTGACTCCAGCATCTGCAGTTCTTGCTATCTCTGAAGAGTTAGATATGATTTTTGATCCAAAGGGAGTCTAGAGTTACGACACAGCAGGTGGGAAAATAGAGCTAAAGCCACAATTACATCAGTCCCGATCTTACTGATTGGTAGAGCTGGCTGGGGAAGCCAAATAACCTTATCTTGCTCCTCCTACTTAAGTAGATTTGGGGAAGGGAAATGAGGGAAGTGTTCTGAGGAAAATATATTCCCAGTCTTTGAGTTTTGACTTTTCTTTACATCCATCTCAGCATGGATTTCACTCTGTTAAAGATATAAAGCAAAAGGCAAGTCAATCATTGCATGCTGGAAGAGGATGCTGCACTTTGTTGAGGAATAGTAAGTATGCAGGTGGAAAGGAAACTCGGTCTAACGTGTAGAATTTGACATTTTAAATTACTTGTTCCGGGGTGTTGTGGCTAAAATAAGAATAAACACCTTGTTCAAGAACATGCATGCACAATATTTTAAGTTTGAGTTTAAGAGAATTGTTTATGCTGAAAAAAAGCTGCAGATTGTTAACTACAGTGTGAAATGATAGCCTCCTAAAAGCTGAAAGCACAGCACTTAGCAAATTGAATAACCATTGGATATATTCAAATTGTTATTTATATAATTGTAACACTTTACTGAACAAATATGGAACTCTGTCAACATTATGAAATAATTTCTGGCTAATTGTAATCATTAATTGCAGCTGGAAAAGATTTGAAGAATTGATTGAACCATACCAACTGCACGAGGGTTCCAAGGATCCTGCAACTGCAGAAATACTGCTGAAAGAGCATCCATGGAAAATTACCGATGCGGAGCTGGAGAGGTTTAAAGACAAGGTGGGCAAAAAAGAGACTTTTTTAAAAAATGGAAATGATGTGACTGAAATATTTATGAATTATAATGAACATTTAGTTACAGTGACTTTGTTTTAAAGACATACCGACAGGTCAAACTCAATGAACTTCTGCAGGAGAACTCCCGATCTGCCAACATCATTGTTGTGTAAGTAAATTCTATTGGTATTACACACATCAGGTACTGAACACGATAAGAACAATACCCTTGCACTCATACACTACCCTTGCATATGTTGTTTTCATTTAGTATTTAGAAATCTATTGATATGTAGTTTGAACATACTCAGTGACCTGTCCCACACCCCTCTGGGATGGAGAATTCAAAGATTCTTCATGGAGAAATTCCTCCTCATTTCCGTCTTAAATGGCCTACCCCTTTAATTCTAAGAAAGTGCACAGGCAAGGGAAACATTCTTGCTGGACGTACATTGTTGAGGCGTGTACAAGTTTTGAGTTTGAATAAGATCATTGCTTATTCTCAATTCTAAAGAATACAGGCCCAGCCTCATAAATTCTCTCATAAGCAATCCAGCCTTGCCTGGAAACAGTCTGGTGAACCTCCGTTGCACTCACTGTTTTGACAAACAGACTCATAGAGACATACAGCACGGAAACTGACCCTTAGGTCCAACTCGTCCATGCCGACTAGGTACATCAAATTGAACTAGTCCCATTTGCCTGCATTTGGTCCATATCCCTGTAAACCTCTCCTATTCATGTACTTGTCCAAAAGCCTTTTAAATGTTGTAATTTTACCAGTCTCCACCACTTCCTCTGGCAGCTCATTCTATACACATACCACCCTCTGTACGGAAAAAGTTGCCTCTCAGATGCCTTTTAAATCTTTCCCCTCTTACTTTAAACCTGTGCCTTCTAGTTTTGGACTTGCTTACCCCTGGGGACAAAGACCTTGGCTATTCACCTTATTGATACCCCTCATGATTTTATAAACCTCTATAAGGTCACCCCTCAGCCTCCGACACTCCAGGGAAAGAAGTCCCAGTGTCTCCTTCTAACACAAACTGTCCAGTCCCAGCAACGTCCTTGTAAACTTTTTCTGTACCCTTTCTAGTTTAACAGCAATGTGAGACACAATCTCCCACATACAAAGCCATGCTGACTATCCCTATTCAGTCCTTGCCTTTCCAAACCAAAACTATACAATCCTCCTGGTGCAGTTGCAGCAAGACATCTTTATGTAAAATGCTAATGTAATATTACAGTATCAAAAGTATATGCTGACCCATTTTTAGAGAAGAAAGTAGGAATACATTGGGGAAGTGCTGTAAATTGGACTATTCTGAACTCCTGGATTTTTTTTTTATTCATTCGTGGGATGAAGACATTTCTTTATTGCCCAGAGCACAGTTAAGGATCAAACATTGCTGTGGGTCTGGAGTCCCATGTAGGCCAGACCAAATAAGGATGGTATTTTTCTTCTCTAAAGGATGTTAGAGAACCAGATGGGCTTTTCCTGACAATTGGTTGATTCATGGGCATTATTTAGACTCTCAATTCCAGATTTTCTTTTTTATCGAATTCAAATGTGACTATCTGCTGTGCCAGGATTTGAACCCAGGTCGCCAAAGCATTAACTGGGTCTCTGGATTAGCAGCCCAGCATTAGTACCTCTAGGCCGTCACTTGCCCTGTACAGTAACTTGTGTAGCCAGAAATGGATTAGAATTTTTAAAACTTATTTTCATTTTCTTTCATATTAGGAGTTTGCCCATTGCCAGGAAAGAAGCTGTATCAAGTTACTTGTACATGGCTTGGTTAGAGATTCTTTCAAGAAACCTGCCTCCTGTCATAATGATCAGAGGAAATCAGAAGAATGTTCTGACCTTCTACTCCTAACAGAAAATTGTATGTTGAGGCTGCAGCAAATGACACAGTCAAGACAACACTTATTTACCACTTAGTTGCTTAATAAGGATGACACACTGAAGTACCAAACAAAATCTATTCTAGTTTCTGATTTCCTGCTGCATTTCACAAATAATGTCACTAGTTAGTCTTCTAAAATTTTTATATTTGGTCACCGTGTCGTGTAATAGCTTGATTGGTTGACCCCTACATTTTAGGACACTATTCTCTGATCACTAACTTTACAAAGGTGGAATAAAATCCTCCTTACTTGTCTACAATGTAAGATAGTTAACATACTCATAGTATTTTGGAAATCCAAATTTTTCAGCAGTAAGATCTTCAAAGAGTTTTCAATCAATTGTCATTATTTGATAACTCGCACTAACTCTGCTTAAATCAGGATTTTATTAGACATATTGACTTAATTATGTGTACTGTATTCTTCAGCTTAATTAACATTTACACTAAAACCACATGTTGATAAGACTGTTTCTGCAGTCTGACAAGCTCATTCAGGTACATGAAAATTGAACAGAGTTCAAGGGAAATGTGCAAAACCGGATGAGATTACAGCTTTGTGAACAATATATACTGTGAAATGAAGCAAGAAAGATGTGCAATGAAAGTAGAACAGAATGAAAAGGGAATGGAGTGAAATTTCAGAGAGGAAAGACACTCACTTTATCATGAGAAATCAGTTGTAGTTTGGGCAGGATTTCTTGCAATATGATGCAAATATACATATTGCTTATATTCAGAATGTGTTTGACACTTACTTGTAAAAGAAATAATATAATCTGCAAAACATTAATGATGACCTTGTATCTGATGAGAATTGAAATAAAAGGTACTAAAATTAACTTTGTTGTCCTCTACTTTCTTCCAGATAGTGGAGTTTTTAGAAGATGAATGGTACTTTTTTTTTACCATTTCACTAATTTTCTAAACAAAAATTCATTAACTGACCCTGAATTCAAATACCAATGCATTGCAAAAATTCAGGAAAGATCTTTAGCATCTCCAAACCGATCACTACTACCATCTGAAGGACAAGGGCAGCAGATACGGCACCACCTACAAACTTCCAAACCACCCACCATCTTGACTTGGAAATATATCGCTGTTCCTTCCTGGGTCCCTCCCTAACAGCATTATTGGTTTACTTACAGCATATGGACTGCAGTGTTCAAAAAGGCAACTGCCCATCATCTTCTCGAGGGCATTTAGGCAAAGGCAACAATGAATGCTGGCCGTCCAGCTACACCATGTTCCAAGAGTGAATTTTCTTAAAACTCATCATTTCGGCCTCCAGAATGTTTGGCTAATCAAAAGGCTTGTAATACGAGACAACAAGGTGCAGGGCTGGATGAACACAGCAGGCCAAGCAGCATCGTAGGAGCAGAGAGGCTGACATTTCGGGCCTAGACCCTTCATCAGAAAAGGGGGAGGGGAAGGGGGTTTTGAAATAAATAGGGAGAGAGTGGGAGGCGGATAGAGTTGCAGTGGGAGAGAGATCCCTTGAGGTTTGTCCGGAGGGAGGAGGGTAACTTCTTCAGGTTAGGCATCCTTGTAATATGGTCACTAAATAAATCAGTTTCATGATTGTCAAAGCACGGCTATGAAAATTAATTTTTGGGATACATTTTACAAATTTTATCCAGGTGATATCTGGCAAAGTTAACAACCTAGTTATCTGTGTTTGCCACGATATTGCTCATTTGAGTCTGAAAGCTGTGGCTTGACTTTAAGTGTCACTTCAGGGGTTGAACATAGATATAGGTTGAATTATAGGTGTTATCCTCAAATTCCAACTGTTTATAATGTACTGAATCATAAGGTTCAAGTCCCACTACAGTACTTAAAAACCAAAGTCAAGGTTGATTCTTGAGTTTAAGATTCTTGTGAAGATTTGTAGCTGGGGTTGCGGGTGAGGTTGTTGTCTTGCTTACTGACCTGGCTGGTTATCATACGGACCATGCTAGGTAACATCATCAGTGAGGCCTCCGATGAAACGATGTTGTTCTACTTCGCTTGGAATTTATTCTGTCTGGTCCGTTATGGTGAGCCATTTCCGGTTCTGTTCTGCATGGGTTTGTATATGGGGTCTAATTCCACATGTTTATTAATTGCAATATGGGTTGAAAACATGTGGAATTATACCCCATATATAAATCCATGCAGAATAGAACCGGATCATATAAATACCAAGCAGAGTAAAACAACATCACTTCGTTGGAGGCCACACTGATGATGTTACCTAGCATGGTGACGAAACGTCTGTACAATAACCAGCCAACTCGGTGAGCAAGCCAACAACCTGACTCTTGAGTGCGGTTGTACTGAAGTTCATTTTCTGCTGTATCCCATCAAATTGCTTCCCAACATATGCAATGTAACATTCAACAGCACACTAAGTCTCAATAGTTGCTAGATGGCTACATTTAATTCTGCCTAACAGTTATTGTAAAGTTTTCATTTGGTCACTTATGACAGTTTGGAGTCACTGAGGAACAGTTGAAAGCTCACAGGCAGCTGGGGAAAGTAAGCAAGTATGAGAGACAGAAGGATGTGGACTGCATGTTGGAACAACACCTAAATGACACTTTTTTGCATAGCAAGGGCTCCAGGAAGTCTTAAAGCAGTTGAATAGTTCTGTTTGAGGCTCAGGGAAGTCCTGGAAGTTTGGATCTGAAGAAATGTGCCAGTATAGTCCAGAAGATTGAAAAAGTTCACAAGCGGTATTTACTTAATGCAACTGAGCAAGATTAGAGTTCACAGAAAACCCAGTGGCTGTTTTAATTTACAGAAGCTAGTTGCCAGTGAAGAGCTTTGGAGTTAAGGGAAGCTTAGATCCATGGAAGGAGAGGTGATCGAACCAGAAGGGAGCAATCACTAGGGCAACCCATGGTGGGGTGGCTCGAGAGAGAGTTTCAGAACCAGACCTGCAAAAGTGGAAAAACACTCATTCTTTGTGAAGTTTAATGAGATTTGAAGATTCACCATGTTGCTGGTGTCTGGTAGGGAATTGCTGACAGAATTGTGGGACCTGTAGGTATTTACTTTTTGATGTGTGCTGTATGTGTTTGATCATGTCTATTACCCATATTTATCACAATATTTCTGGGTGTTAGATTGTATGACTGTTCTAATGCTGTATCATATAAAGGTTATTGTTGTTCAAAACTGTGGGAATTTGACCATTTTATTCTCTCAGTAAGTCCCTTCGATCTGTCCTTTTGTTCATTTTGAACGTTGATGGTCCTTAGCCAGACTGTTGCATGAATTTGGGCAGTCTTGTCTTGGATTGTAAAATAATTTGTAAAATAATTACAAGATTTGAAATCTGCAAAAATGAGTGCTAGGACCTGCTGAGGCTAAGGCTGATTAAGACTTTCATCATGAATTTCAATATGAATATTGAAATTCAAGTCTGTTGCTGTGACATTCCTAGAAGGGAAAAAATTATCCAGAAATGATTGGCAAGAATTAACCAAGGCTAGGTTTATAGCATTAGTAGAAAATTTAGAGTTAGAAATGAAAGCAACGGCTGAGAGAGAGAATTGAGGTAAATAGCACAGCATTTTGGATTGGAGGAAGAGCCTAACCCAGGCAGAACAATGCTTGAGATGGCTTGAATTCAGTTGTAGATGAAGCAGCATTTTTTTAAAAAATGAGGAAAATGTGAATTTGAAACAGAAGTTGAAAAGTTTGAACTTGTAACCAGAGAGAGAGGTTGGCAATGGAGAGAAGAGAATTTCAAAGAGAGAACTAAATCAGAAAGCATGAAATGATTGTGGGGAAAAGAAAAGAGCTTGGGTTATATGGTTTAAGGGAAGCTAGCCCAGTCAACAAAAATGATATGTTAGGGGAGAAAAATGTCAGAAAATCAGTATGTTATCACTGCCACAAAATACAGGAACAGTAAACCAGTGGGAGTAATAGGAATGGGAGTCTTCAGAAAAGGCATTATTGATAAAGGCAATGGTTGCCATGCACGTAAGTCAGGACCAACTAGAATGGGGAATGTGACTCTAGGAATTCATCCTTGAATATTGCCAAAGTGAGCCTATAGCAGCTTTATCCCTAAGGGAGATGTGTCCCTTTAATCCAACAACACAAGTGAACAGGTTAATATGTTGAGAGGGACTGGGGCAAATCAGTAACCGATGGTGAATGATGATGTGATTTGTGTTCCAGACAGTTTAATGAAACAGGAAGTATTAATAGGAGGGTCTCTGATTTCTGAGCCTGCCCACTTTTATACCAAATTAATTTACAAAGTGACTTAGTGGATGGAATTGTTACTGTGGAAATTTTTCCTAGTTTACCGTTATTAACATCCTTCCTATAGAAGTCACTCAGTGTTTTAAAGAAAGTGAGCAAGGCAAAAGCACTTTGGAATTGGTAAGCAAGCTGAATTTGAAGTTGCCTATATCTGAGGACAGGGGGAATAATTGCAGCAATAGATCAGCACTTGCAATTGCCAGGAATGCAATCAAATTATTGAAAATTGCTAAAATTCAATTGCAAATGAAGTAGCATAAATTAGATGTGATGGCAATGGTAAAAGAAAGGAATACTCTAGTAGAAGAACAGGAGAAAGAGAGGAGGCAGATAAAGAGAGTTTTTGAACTTCAGAAGTTGGCAATGAAAGAGGCAAGCCAACTTAAAATGGCAAAGGTAGGAATAGTGATGAGGGCAGCAATGAAGAGCAAAACCATCGTAGACAAAAACCTGGTGGGGATCTGTTTCAATATGTTCAAATGTTACCAAAGTTTGAGAAGAACGTAGATGCTTTTTTATTTTGAGAAAGTAGCTAAACAAATGAAATGGTCGGTGACCACATAGGTGTTCTTGATACAAACAAAATTGATGGGTAGAGCTAGATATTTGCATCATTATCACAGGAGGTATCTGAAGAATATGATGAGAATAAAAAAGCTGTCTTTAGTGCATATGAGCTAGTGCCAGAAGCATACAATGTTCTAGGAATCTAGGGAAGGACCCTGGTCAAACGTACATTGAGTTTGAAAGGATCAAACAAAGTATCTTGATGGGTGGATAAGAGCATTGAAAATACATCAGACATATGCCATTCTTAGAGAGATTGTTATTTTGGAAGAATTCTTGAAGTAGTGAGAACTCGTGTAGAAGAGTAGAGAGTTAAGACTGCAAGATTAACAGCAAAAATGGCCAATGATTATAGGTTGGTTCATAAATCAAAGTTTGGCTTCCGACGTCAATTTTAATCTGTGAGGGATAGAAATTGAGGTAAAGAGAAATCTTCAGGTGTAAGGAAAAAGGAGAACTTATTGAAGATGGTAAAGATAATTTACCACAGGATTTAAAAAAAAACCCATGAGGGGGAAGAAGTAAAGCTCAGGTGTTTTCACAGTAATAAAGTAGGACACATGAGCCTCAGTGTTGGTGGTTTTAAGAAAAGCACTAGGAAGACATGTAGTAAAACTGGATAAGTCAGTGGGGTTTATTAAAGTAAGGATAAAGGAGATCTCAGCAGAAGTTAGAGTTGCAAAGGAATGTACAGCCTGGTCAGGGGTTGGTTAATAAAGTATCAAGCTTTTTAAAGAATTTACCCATGTGGGTAAGGTTTACTCGTGTACCAGGAGCAGTAGGTAAAGAAATTAAAATTTTAGAGAGACAGGAACAACTTACCTCTCCTTCAGATGCCCAGGCCTAGCCACGGACCTGGATCCTCAGCCTAGCCTTCAAGTCAGGGCCAGGGTGTCAGGCCTGTACCTGTTCCTCGCTCGCAGGGAGACCCCAGGCTGGGGTGGAGCTGTGTCCGACGACTCCTCCTCATATTGCTGTCACTGCCACTGGAGGCCACCACCTCCATCCG